CAATTCACAAATCTGGAAGTGACTGTTTACAAGTGGAATTAGGAACTTTGCAATAAGAATACACGCATTAACAATAAAAATACGTCCATTTGCAAGTCGATTAATTTGTTCACACATTTATATAATTGCTAGCTAGTTTCAGTTCAGTACTTAGGGCAGTTTACCTCTAAGGACCATCATGAAATTCTCCATCTATTCATAGCCATACAAAATAGATTTCAACTCACGGATTGTCATAGCCACTTCATGAACCATTCCAAAAATACATATTGAGGTTCATATGTACACAAAAATAGCTGTTTATTAAAATAAAAACAAACTGTATTCAGCAATAAATTCATGTAGAGTTCGCGTTCCTGCAAGCTTTTCTAGTTTAACCAGCTTCATATCTACACAAAAGGCTCTCGTCCAACACTTGCAAGAGCGGTGATGGAGGCTCTCGTTGCTAGAGCAAGGGCGACAACGAAGGCTCTCCGCAGCAGAGCAATGACGATGGCAAAATCTTTCCTCAGCACAACAGTAGCGACAGTGAGGTGAACGATCTCCTTCACTGCATGAACTGGAATTTTTAGAGAGTGAGCGAGAGGGGCTTCAGATATCGGGAGTTGAGAGAGAGAGAGAGAAGACTTCAAATTTCAGAGTAATAGTTTGAGGGGCAACACTGTCTTTTTAGTTTTGAAATTAATATCAATTCACCCCCATGGTCCTGCAGTGGCTTGTCAGATTGTTTTGGGGGCTATTGGAAATTAATTGCCTTCAGCGGTCCTTCAGTGAAATTTTCCCTTAAATATTTTATAATATTCATCATCAATCGTTTGGCTTTCACTTTATTTGTTAAAGGGCTACCAGATGGTTTCTTTTTTCTGTTTAACCAAATACAAAATGTCGTCCGTAGTAAATAAGGTTATTATAAGTTACAAATACTTGACCATCCCTATTCTAGCGGAATTTAAATTAAGAAAACAAGGTTTAAAAATAACATTAATATTGAAGGAAGAAAAATTATGGGTAAGAGCAAGTATTTCTTGCCAAGTGATGTTCAGGATAGAGGAAGCATTAGCAAGAATATGGAAAAATCTCGTTTTAACACAGTGAACTTTATACAAAAGGCTTATCCACAGTGAGTCTCAAATTAGAGTTATGAACCTATCAAAGAGCGGCTGCAAGCATTTGCAATGAAAAGCTCATCATGAGAATTTTTTGAGAGGCATTCCCTCATAACAAATAATATTGTGACAATAGTATCTTCTCAGTTTTTTTGTATTTATAGAGCAGCACATCCCAACCATCTTGTTTCAATTTTAAGCGAGAATATTCACCAAAGAAGCCCTACTTAGAGGAGCAAGAGGAGTTAAAGTTATCAAAAGTCATAATCTGGAAAAGAAAGTATATTCTAGATTTCTTGAATCACAGTAAGAGTATAATCTATTTTTCCTTTATGATGCAATTTGTTTCTTTTTCCTCCAGATGGTATTAAGGACTATCAAAAAAATAGATTTTTGACAATAAATTTCAGCATTGATAAAAAAGTATACTGCTAAAAGTTAATTTTTAGTAGTGACTCTGGAAAGTCAACTTAAATAGCTATTTATTGTCTACTAGAATTCACCAAAATACCAATTATGTCACACTAAGATTAATTATCTAAGAAAACATAGCACAATCTTCCATGATTTACCAAAACCACTAATATATCTAACAGTAAAGAGAATATATCAGCCAAAAATAAAAATGCGAAATGACATTATTTTGGTTCTAGACAAGAATAAGGCTGGTTCCTGGTTCAACTAGTTGAACTGGACGATCCAATCCTTTCTAACAACCATGAGATTGTTAAAGGTAGGGTATCTACAAGCATCAATATTCCAAAAAAGCATGAACGAGCGTGCAAAGAGAAGAATAAAACTAAGCATTGTGTTGGTAGGTATAATACATGCAAAAAAAAAATGTTTTGTTGACCAAAAGTTTGATGATTTCACATGATATTAACAGATTATAGGTGGAATGTTTCATTAAGTTTTTCTCCATTCTCTGGCACATAAATGCTTTTAAAAAAGGTGATTTATTTTTTAAAAAATTTTATTATGAAAAGCACAAATTAAATCTTTTCTCATTTTATGAGAATAATAAAAAGTACATTTCTCTCCATCTAAACATATGCCTAAAAAAGATACAGTTTCAACTCAAAGACTATCGAAAATTTTGACATTTAATTGGTTAGTTTATAAATTGCAAATGAATTATAAAATAAAAGAATCAATTTATTAAATGTCTCAAATTTAATACATTGAGATACACTAATAAATTAAATATATGGAATTGAGTCGGAATTCAGTGAACCCTAGAATGACTAAATAATTAATTTCGCCAAACTAAAATAGCCCAATGCAAGAAAAAACAACCCCAGCTAGGGAGAAAAAAAAGAAGAGAATTCCACTATATATAATTAAAGAAGGAAAAAAGAAAAGCAAAAAGAAAACAGAGAAAGAGATGCAGCCAACTAATATGGTACGCGGCATTTTCTTTTTCTCATGATTGTTATCTCAATTCATTGTAGACTTCAACATTTATATATAAAACAATTTATTGATTCATTGATTCAACCGTGTAGCACACACGCATGTATAATTGATATATATATGTGTGTGTGTGTGTGTGTGTGTGTGTATAAAATAAACTCCAAAGTCCATAGCAATCAATGTTTGTTCATTTTATTTGCTGCGATGCTTCCTATTAAGAAATATAATTGATATGTTCTTTTTTTTATTTATTAATATGTCTAAATACAATTATTTTAATTTATCAATTAATGTTGTTCTAGGCTTTTAATGTTTGGTAAGGGTATGATTGAGAGAATAAAAATATTATTTTTTAGGAATCAAAACAGAAAAAAAAATTCCTTACATAAAGGACTGATGTTGAAGACTTTTTTGGTGCATTTCACACGCTGTGTGTGAAAAGAAAATGAGGGGGGAAAAAAAGTAAAAGAAAAGAAAGAAAAAATATGAAAAATAGAACATGCATGGACACCCCACGAAAAAGTGTCACATTAATATTTTATGATATTTATCACCAATGATTGAGTTTTCACTTTATTTGTTAAAGACTTTGTTTGCTTTCACGTTATTTTCCTGAAAAATATTTATATTAGATATAAGTAAAATTCAAAGTTATTAATTTTGAGACAAAATTAATAAGATTTAAAATTTATTTAAGTTATTAAATTTAAGGAAGAGTTAATAAGATTTAAGTTTTTTTAAGTTCAGTAAAACATATTGAAAGTGACTTATAAATAGAATGAGATGAATATCACTTTATTGTTTGAGTTGTTTAAAATGTTAGGGTGCAATCATAATATAAATTTTCAGAATAATGTAAAGACGAAATATTAAAAAGTAAAATATATAAATGATATTAAGCATAAAGTGGGTCAATCGTGAATGGTTTTGCACTTTATTCGGTAGGCCTCGTGGAATTTCCCCATTTCACACTGTTATCCCTAGTCAGTCAATGCTTTTGTGTGTCATACGCTAGATAGTGATGACTTTTGTGTGTGTATGTGTGAGAGAGAGAAAAGATCAGGTGCAGAAAAAAAGTGGTTCAAAACAATACATGTATATAAATATATTTTATTTTTTAAAAATAATCTTATTTATTTGGAGAGTGGGTGAGAGAAAAATAGAAAGATGTGGAACCAACGCAATTATATAACATGTTATTAATGAGGTAAAAATAAATAATAATAATAGAAATTTCAGACATCCTATTAAGATTTCTTATACATAGGATTATATCATTATCAAAAAATTCTTCTTATATAATTAGAGTGAGTATAACAAAAATGAACCAACAATGAAAAGGGTGTATTGCTAAAAAGTTTAAAACAACCCATTCAACCTTAATTTTGTTGAGTACATTACTAGGAAGGTTTTTTTTTTTTTACGAAAACTAATAAATTTTTCTAAATATATTACAAATTAAATAAAACAATTTAATTAATTTTTTAATCTATATAAATTAGCTAACTGACTTCTACATTTAATTATTTTAAAATTTTTCAACATTTTTCAACAATAAATTTTGTTCAAACGTTCTCCAACAAAGGTTCCTAATTTCTATAATATTTGCAAAATTGTTACATTCATGATAAATCTGGAAATTGACACATTTTGCGTTTTATAATTTCTTTTCACACATTTTTTCGCCAACAATATTTTCTGACATATTATTTTCAACTTTTTTTTTTTTTGCAGAATGATCATCTGGTCTAGCTATTGAACTTCTGATTTGATTTACATTCAATGGTTTTGTTAATTGTAGTCATTTAAAATTATTTGTTCTCCGTTTGAAACATGTTCAAGTATAAAATTGACGGTAAACTTTAATAATTTTATGCTGTTAAGGTTTTAAATTTATATTTTACCCAAAAAAAAGTTTTAAATCTATATCCTTTGCCGCTTATATCAATGGCTTTGTTTTGTTTTTAAATTTTGTATAATATTATAATTAAATAAAAAGACCAAAGTGGTAGGTAAGTATGGTTTTTTCCCCCAAAAAAAATGTTTATACAGACCAAACTAGCTAGAAGCCAAAAGGAATTGAATAGTTTAAAATTTAATTTTCTGTTTAAACAAGTCTATATTTCACAATTTCAATAATCAATGTGAATAAGCAACAACCATATTAACACATCATTGCAATTCGAAAGTAAATTGCTTTTAGTTTGTTAGTCCTCACGGTACTTTGATGCTAATCATGTACTTTTCATCTTTTAAATTCTTTTAATATATAATTTGAATATAAAGGTTGAAGAAAACCACAAGTGAATAGTTGTTTGTTTTAAAAGTATACAACTCATAATTATCTTTTATCACATTTTTTGGTTAAGAAAAAGTCATCTATATATATGAGTTGTGTGTATTGAACAAAACCCACACTGCACTTCTCGATAGAGATTCACCATATAAAAAATTCACTTTGCCTAAGCTTTTCTCATCGATATGGGAAGACACATCATATTAGGATTTGTGTTGCTTTTCTTGTTGTTGTTGGGAATTGCCCAATTAGGTCTTTGTGGAAGATGCATTGAATCAGAGAAGCAAGCTCTTCTCAAGTTCAAAGCATCCGTTCATGATGATTCATCTAAGAGCCTTTCCTCTTGGAATCCCAAAACCAATTGTTGCCAGTGGGATGGCATTGCTTGTGACAATGTTACTGGTCATATTCTCAAACTTGATCTTAGTTACTATTCCCTACAAGCTACTGGTGTTGATCCATCTTTGTTGGAGTTGCAACATTTGATTTATTTGGATTTGTGTGCAAACAACTTCAATGCCATCTCAATTCCAGCCTTTTTTGGTTCGATGGGGAGGCTGAGATATCTTTCTATCTCTCGCTCTAATTTCACAGGGAAGATTCCTACCAATTTTGGTGAAAACCTCACAACATTGCAGTTTCTTGATCTTAGTTTGAATGATTTGGACATCAATGACATGAATTGGGTTTCAAAACTTCAGTCTCTACAATATCTCAACTTGAGTGATGTCTACCTTGGAGAAGCTCACAACTTGTTCCAGGTACTTCACAAGCTTCCTTCTTTATCACAACTCCAATTAGAAGGATGTGGACTTGGCAACTTGTCCGCTCCTCTTCCCCCATTCAATTTCACAAATAATACTAGAGTTCAGGTCTTGAATCTTGCTCAAAATGAAATTGATGGTCGAATCCTTGATGTGTTTCTAAATTGGACTTTTGTTGAATTCCTTGACCTCAGTTCCAACAATCTTAGTTCAATGCCATTATGGCTGGGAGAGTTTAGGAATCTAGTTTCTCTTGATCTTTCATATAATGCACTTTGTGGACCCATGCCTATTGCTTTATCAAACTTGACTTCCCTTAAATACCTTGACCTTTCTGTGAACAATTTTAGCTCAATTCCATCTTGGTTGGGAGAGTTAAGGAACCTTCGCCATCTAGATATCTCCATGAATCAAGTCACAGCCACACTAGAAATTTCTGTGTCACAACTTTTAAAAAACATGTGCCGCTTACAAATATTATATATGGAAGGTGGCAATTTTCAAGGAGAAGCATTTGGTGACTGTGATTTTTCTAGATGCATCAAATATGACATAGAGGAACTGTATTTGAGTGATAATAGACTAAATGGCCATTTACCCACTTGGGTAGGGAATCTTGAAAAACTAAATGGCCTTGATCTTTCACAGAATTATTTTTCTGGCGATATTCCTCAAAGTCTTGGTCAACTTTCAAATCTATATAGCCTTAATCTTTCAAGTAATTCTTTTACTGGCAACATTCCTCAAAGTCTTGGTCAACTTTCAAATCTAGATAGCCTTGATCTTTCAAGTAATTCTTTTAGCGGCAATGTTCCTCAAAGTCTTGGTCAACTTTTAAATCTATATAGGCTTGATCTTTCAAATAATTCTTTTGTCGGCAATATTCCTCAAAGTCTTGGTCAACTTTCAAATCTACGTAGGCTTGATCTTTCAGGTAATTCTCTTAGTGGTAATATCCCTCAAAGTCTTGTTCACTCTGCAAATCTAACTACCCTTGATCTCTCAAGTAATTTTCTTAGTGGTAATATCCTTGAAAGTCTTTGTCAGCTTGGAAATCTATATATCCTTGATCTTTCAGGTAATTCTCTTAGTGGTAATATCCCTCAAAGTCTTGTTCACTCCACAAATCTAACTATCCTTGATCTCTCAAGTAATTTTCTTAGTGGTAATGTCCCTGAAAGTCTTTGTCAGCTTGTAAATCTAGAAGTACTTGATCTTTCCAATAATTCTATTAGTGGCAACATTCCTCAAAGTCTTGGTCAACTTATAAATCTAAAGGACCTTAATCTTTCAAGAAATTCTTTTAGGGGCCACATTCCTCAAGGTCTTTGTGAACTTATAAATCTAACAAGCCTTGATCTTTCTCATAACAATTTCTATGGTGAAATTCCAAATTGCTGGAGAGATAATCCATCACCTGGAATGAAGGAAATAAATTTTCATTCAATAAACTGTCTGGTGCCTTCCCTGTCTCTATTGGTGAGCTTTCCTCATTGAATTGGTTACATTTGAACAATAACCATCTTGAAGGGAAGCTTCCATTGACTTTGAAAAATTTGAATCACTTGGTAATCTTAGATTTGGGCAAAAATAAGTTGATTGGAAGTATACCATCATCATGGACCAGTAACACTTTTTCTACATTACAAATTCTGAGGTTAAGGGATAACATGTTAGATGGTAACATTCCTTCAAATCTGTGCCAGCTCAAATCTCTCCAAATTTTGGACCTTGCAAACAACAATTTAAATGGCTCAATACCCCGTTGCATTGGCAATCTTACCAAAATGACCAAAGATAGTGTTGATATATGGAAATCATTCAATCAAGCTACTATCAATGGTGTGTTCACTAGTGACTGGTATCATCAAGATGTGGAACAAGTTATAAAAGGAAGAGAATTAGACTATATTAGAATCTTGGAGCTTGTGGTCAACTTGGATTTGTCAAATAATAATTTGACGGGATCAATTCCTCTTGAATTATTCTCTCTTGTTGGACTGATTGGGTTAAACCTTTCACACAATCATTTGAAAGGCGAAATTCCAGAGAACATTGGAAATATGAAACAACTTGAATCCTTTGATATCTCTTGCAACCAGATTTCAGGCGCAATTCCAATGAGTGTGTCCAAGCTAACTGCATTGAACCATTTGAACATGTCAAATAATAATCTTTCAGGGTCAATTCCAGCAAAAAATCAATTCTTGACTTTGAATGATCCGTCTATTTATGCTGGCAACCCTTATCTTTGTGGAACTCCACTATCAAACAAGTGTCAAGGTGATGATATTCATCAAGTTCCTGAAACCAACAAAGAATTGGAAGAGGAAAATGATCCAGAAAAGTGTGGTTTTATTTTGTCGTAGCAATTGGGTTTGCCTTTGGCTTTTGGGGAGTTATTGGGACTTTAGTGTTAAAGAAGAATTGGAGATACGCTTGTTTTCAACGAGTGGAAGATGTTGCAGATGACATATATGTATTCACTTCTCTCAAAATTGCAAAGCTAGAGAGGTTGCTCACGAAGCATGTCCATGGTTGATCTCTGTAACCATATGTATCTTTGTTATTATCTATCTTGTTAGTATCATGTTTGTAGCAGCAATATTAATAAAGGGTTATTTCAATATATATATATGTATGTCTTCATCGTTTCACTATAATGGAATTAAATCTCCAATTAATATTCAATTCTTCAATTTATTGTTTGTTTATGAGATATTCCTCCAGTGCTAAATATAAGACTCTTTTTGTAGTATAAATTACACTACAAAAAGGGTCTTATATTTAGGACCGGAGGAGTAGTATTTTAATGCCACCTAAACTCATTACATGATTACTAAATCAAACTATATATGGTAATTCAGGTATACATCATATCAAGCCATATATATTAGTAGAGTCCAAAGACTTTAAGTTCTAAACATGTCAATTATATATATTGTATTTTATTTGTAAATAATATAGATTTCTTATACTGTTATCTAAGAACGTAAGTACACAATATATTTTGGGTAATATTACATAACGTGTGGAACCAGCGAGTCGTTGCAATCACCTAATAAAACTAAAAGACTGAAATAAATTCCAATTCCAAAGTATTATATATAATTTATTTCTTTTTCCCCCCTAATTGCCAAACATGTCAAATTATATTGGAGACTTTTCTTCATGGATAATGAGTACAAGTCCATATGTATCTACTTTACACATCAAGTCGAACACTTCATTCACTACAAAAAAAATGGACTTTCAGTGGCGATAAAAAGTCGCTGTTGAAAGTTTTCAGTGGCGACTTAGCCGTGGCTGAAAACTTTCAGTGGCGACTAAAAAGGTCATCGCTGAAAGACACTTTAGCGGTGACTTTTAGAAATTTCAACGGTGACATTTGTTGCTGCTGAAAGACACTTTCGGCGGTGACATTCTTGTCGCTACTAAAAGACTTTTCAGCAGCGATAATTTGTCACCGCCAAAAAGGATGTTCAGCGGTGACTTTTTTATCGCCACTAAAAGTGATGCCTAAGAAGAATTGGCTTTGCCAATGCCACGTCATCACCGCCGGCCACCACGTCATCACTAGCCACCTCCACCTCATCATTGAACAAGTGCCACGTCATCACTAGGCACCTCCACGTCATTGCCACATCACTCATGCCCGCCACGTCATCGTCCAAATATTTTCACCTTAAATGTGTCTTCTTCAAGGTTCGAACTCGTGACCACCTCCTTTCATGTCCAATCTTCTTGCCATTGAGCCAGATTGAATTTGTTTATTAATATTGTAAAATAAAATATATATTATTATATTACACTTTCAACGGTAACGTTATAAAGTCGCCGCTGAAAGTCAAACCTTCAGCAGCGACACTAATAGTCATCGCTGAAATTTTACTTTCAGCGGTGACCATAGAATGTCGCCGCTGAAAGTGAACCCAGTGATTACATCACCTTCTGCTCAAAGATATACTTTCAGTGGCGACCATAGAATGTCGCCGTTGAAAGTGAACCCAATGATTCTCAAAGGTATACTTTCAACGGCAACAAAAAAAGTTACTGCTCAAAGTTCACTTTCAGCAGCGACAAAAAAAGTCACCGTTGAAAGTCCATTTTCAGCAGCGACTTTTTGGTGTCGCGGCTGAAAGTCTTAGTTTCAGCAGCGACTTTTTTTATTACTGCTGAAAGTTGTCGCCTAAAGTCTTTTTTTTTTTTTTTGTAGTGATTGCCAGCATCATTTCAAGTGGCAATACAATTTTCATTGATAAATGTATAATTGTAGAATTTAATACTATATCTTTCTTTTAGCAGAAACAAATTAAAGCAATATTACAATAATTCGAATGTCACTGTTATTTAATTATTATATTTTCAATTATATAATATTGTGCGTGTCTTATAATCTTTTAAATTTTTGTTCTATTTTTATTTTGTTCTATCTTTCTCTCACCAATAAACATCCTTATAATAGGTCTTCAATTGGAATATTTTTTAGCACCGCCTATTAATTTGCAATAATTATAGATATTCTCTTCTTATCAAGTTATACATTAATCTAAAGGTAAAAAATGTTAGACATTGAATAATAAGAATGGTGAAAATTAAATAAATTACGAATTTTTATCTTTTAATGTGATTTTTTAATATATATTGAGAGGGATCGAAGTCTTGACCATCTGATTAAATTTGCATAAATGTATTTTCTTTCGTCAATGAAACATGTCTTTTTTATCTCATTCTTTCTACATTTGATTCTTTTTGTTTGAAAGAATATAAATGACATACTAGCTGGACACTCACTCTGTAATAATGTTCGCAAGTGTACATTGAGTTGCCAATGTTAACTTGTCCTAGTATAACCCGTTTCAAGCTAAGCGTTGACTTGTGAGCGTGGGATTAAATTGTATAAAAAAAAAAGTGGATATTTCATTTTGAGTCTTTGATTTTTACGCAAAAGTTCAATACTATCCTTAATTTTATATAATATTTTTAATCACTCTCTAATTTAGTAATTTTAATACTGTTAATTTATTAATAGAAGATGCTAACACTACAATTTTGAATGTTGATAAAAATTCTTAAATGGTGATATTTTGATCCTCTCTTTTTTTAAAAAAAAAAATTTTTGACAATATTTTGTTAGCATTTAAGGTTGCAATATAATTTCAATTTATAACTGTGATTTATGTTTGCAATTGTCTGAATCGATACTTGTAATAATTTATTTTCACAAAATGTTTTGGAATCAAATTGTCCTTAATTTAACCTTTCTTTTGTGACTTTAATGTTATTCGCCCTAAAAACATAAACTAAGTATTCAATCATTTTCTTATGAGAATAAATTACAATCTTCCTAATGCAAAAAACCCTTAAATTAATATAAATAAGTAAATTAAGAAATGAGACAAAAAGAAGCAAATCAAGCCCCGCATTATGACAGAAGCAGGATATATAAGTAGTCCCATCCGATTCTTCCCACTTGAATTTTTCACACAAAATTATTTTTTTCTTAAACTCATATTATAATTTTTTTTTATATAATTCATTACATATAGAAGCTTTCAATTGGGATGGGTGGAAGAAAGACACAAGAGCATCTTAGTAGAGAGGTAGGGGATATACTTCTCAGCAAGCTCTCTCGTGATATTAATTTGATACGTATATTTAGTGTTTTCTTCTTGCCCGATATACTTCTGTTTTAATTAATTAGTAAAAATTTCCTACTTGTTCTTTGTATATATGTACAATGTGTGGCCATGATCAACTTAATTTGTCCAAGCCATTTGAGTTTAAAGGGTAAGTTAATTGCGTATATAGATCTGACTCGGTTGGCAAGGTGCAAAGTGGTTAAGTTGGTTAAAGCAAGTTAATTTGATGTGTATTAGGCACGTCAGTATGGGTTTGGCAATTAATTGTTTAACTTATTACCAAACGAGTCTTGCTTATTTATTTGAAATTGGAGCCAAATATAAGATTGTTTGACTGTTTTTCATCCAAAAAAAAAGTTAAAATATCTATAAATTTCTTAAAATCTTTTTAAAAAAATACAAAAATTTGATTGTTCTTTTAAATAACTATCAAATATTTGCACATGCTTATCCAACGGTCTACATAATAATCATCAAATAAATCTTTGCTCAACTTTGCTTGATTATTCAATTGTGTTGGCAAGTTAACCAATCTAATTGTTCAATTAGATAATTCTAAGCATAATTTCTAGAATTAATTCTAAATTAATCATTAGTTTTAATGGGTTTAATAAACTGGCTTTAAATCATTATAAGTTTTCTTGGGGTTTAAGTGTTACTGAACTGAAGGATTTCACATGTTTAAATTAGGTTATTAAACTTATTCAGCCTGTTTGGATGGGCGGTTGGTGGTGGGCCAAAAGGAGCTTAAATTGATGATAAGCCCGTTTTTAGAAGGAGAGAATATTTGGATGAGTTTTTGGGCCATCCCACTTCATCACCAAAAGTCAGATTACACCGTGCGTTGTGATAGGC